AACTGGCCACTGAGGGACCGCACCAAAAAGTCACTTAAGAGCTTAGAGATAAGGATTTCATCGATCTTATTAGCTCCACTCCGCTGCAGGTCCTACTTACATTCATCACAGAGAGGCCCTTCCCTGGTTCCCCACTGAAAGCCCTGCACAATGCTGTCCTTCACAGATCCCAGCAGCGACTTGTCCACCTACAGACAGACAGACAGACGGCTTCAGAGACCAAATCTGCATCATGAGGCAGTACCAGACACAGTTCAGTGTTTAAAAGCCGGTTCCTAAAAGAGCAGCAATGTGCCTCGATACCCTGAGTCTCCATCCCTCCCTCCCTCTCACAGGAGCATCATCTTCAGAGTTTGCATCTAGAGCTATAGCTTTAGAGTCCGTGTCTCGGTAATCCTGAAGGGAAGGCTGATTAGCTGCCAGTTTTAAGGACGTTTAGCCCAAATAGCAACGCCTGAAAAATAACAGGCAATTTGCTAGCTTGTGTAGGAGTTCAGTGGAGAAGGAACAGCAGCTCTGAGATGCGGCAAACCAATGAGCACTCCAACGGCAGTAGGACCTTGCCACAGGGTCTGGAAGCAGCAGCCACCTTTTGGCACCACAGCACCAAGGTCTCACTGAAACACAACCCCCAGCCTGTGTTTCTTACCTCTGAGGGCAGCGTATCGTCTACTAGGATGTTTGGGCCAGTGGCGTCTGGCCCAAAGGCCCAGATGGAACGGGCAGCCAGCAAATCCCAGTCATATTTGGTCTGGAAGAATTCACCCAGCTTCTTTCTGACAGAGGAAGGGAAGAAACTTTAGGAAATAAGTATCCAACCTGCACTCACAACATATTTACAACCCTGTTCCCTCTAGGCATAAAAGGGTCTCAGCTTTTTAACTGCAGCAACTGGTTTGCTGGGGCAGGGATGCTCACAGACTAGCCGGCAGCAATTCTGAATCCAGGACCCAGGACCTAGAGGCTGTTGGCTGATAGCGTGCACCCTGTAGATCCCAGCATTCTCTTTTTCCCCCTAATTATTTGATTCTAGGTGGATTCCTGCTCTCCCCACATCGGTCATACCTGTTCCACGTTATCTGGACCACTTCATTTTCAATGTCCTCTGCAAGTCCCTTCTCCAGAGGCTCAGCAATCATCGTGATCTTGTTCCTGAGAAGAGAGATGATTGTAATTAGTCGGCAGAATGATGGAAATAGGAGTAATTGGTTGGACCTCAGGGACTGCGCACTGTCTCCAACACAGCTAGGGAGATGAAGCCATCTATGTGCTTTGTTGTTACTGTCTTGTTTATAAAGACAGCCCATGTGCTTAACAACTGCTCTCTGAAGTCCGCTAAGCTCCACAAGCAGATTGCTAAGGGACAACACAGCTCCACCCCTCCTGCCAGATGTCCAGTGTTCGGCCAGGCTGCAGAAGGAAGCCCATGGGCCAGGCAATATGCCTCTACGGAGCCAGCACTCACTGTCCAACACACACGATGTTGCCTCAGAGAACCCCACCAATGCAGTAACCTGTCCCCAGAGGAGGTCCCTCCACATGCCCAACAGTTCAAAGACCGACCTAAGACTGGAACCTTTCTGCTCCCAAAAATAAGGCTGCCAACCACGGAGAGAGTACACCAGAATAAAGGAGGGCAAGAAGGGCCAGAAACCACAGGGGAACATGTTTTCAGCATATGACAGATCAAGATTTCCCTGAAAATTCAAGCATTAAAATGTCTTGTGCTCCTAGATTTAATCCTGAATATTCAGCTTATATTCACCCGCAGGGCTCCCTCCTGCAAACATGTGCATGTCATAGTGCATTGCTGGGGAGGAAGACGAGACTGGACTGTAAGGCTACAGTGCATAACCAGAACGGAAAAAAATCCATTTCAAGATTAAGAATGTCTTCAAGAGAAGACAAAGCTTTTGCTCAAAATGTTTGGGGAGTTACTGAAGGCAGCACTAGGCTCTTCGGCACCTGCTCTAGGACCCCAGTACACTTCCTAGTCCTGGGAGCACCACAAAACTGCTGAGGTGGTGTGAAATTTAGCTAGAAGAAAGGAGGATGTAGATCTGTCTTTATTCCCTCCATTCTGAAAGTCCCTACAAAGCACAGAAACCTCCCTTGGACTCCAGTGTGTTACTGAGGAGTTCAGTAGGGCTGCTGCAGCAGCAGGCTGCCAAGGCAGACACATGCCACTTGTCTGGACAACAGCCAGCGAGAACAAACCCCTCGGAGGGGAGGCAGCCTGCTTGCCAGTGAGTCCCTCCACCTGCCTGTCTCCAAGGCCCAGCGCGGCCCATGGCTCTTACTTCTTGTTGGGTGTCTCAGCGAAGCACTTCAGGGAGGACGTTTCCACCACGGTCTCACAGAATGTCACAACTGGGTCAGCAACCTGGAAAAGCAAGAGCAGATGTGTAAGGTTTAAAACCAAAGAAGCCCTTGAAAAGAGACTGACTGCAACCTTTGCACACCTACAAGACAGCTGGTTCGGCTGCCAGTGCTGTAATGAGCTTTGGGTGTGAACCGCTGAGGCCTGCAGACAGCTCTACTAATTCCTGCATCTAAACAAGCCAGGACACTCAAACCAAATTCCAGGTATGAAAAATTCTGCTTGATTTATTTATCTGATGCTAGCCAGGCAATGGCTGAAGTACCGGAAGAGGCTGGAATACGGTCACATACCCCTCTCCAAGCCAATTTTCAGGCTCTGAATCACAATGGTGTGATGCAGGCAGGCTGCAAGAGTTACTTTTGCAACCTAACAGCCCTGTTTTCCCTTTTAAAAGGGCCTGGCAAAATCCACGCTACACGCTTGGTAGGGTTATTCCCCCATCCTGCTGAGACAGGGGAACAAAACCCTCTCCCCAGCTGGGAAAATCCCTCGCTCATTTCCTCACCTTGATATCAATCTCCGAATACATCTTCCGTAGATCGTGCATCACACAATCCAGGTAGAGCTCCCCCGTCCCCAGGATCACGTGCTCCCCAGACTCCTCCACCTGAAAGGTAACAGAAGAGTCACTTGGCAGTGCTGCAGCTCATGGGCCCTTGCCTTCCAGGCTCAAGCCTGCGCAAGTGTCAGCTTGGAGTAAAGTGGTTAGGATCAGAGCACCCCATGGAGAGCTCCCATGGCCTTTTCCAGCAGAAAGTGCTGACCCCTGGCACAGTGAGGTGGGTGCTTTTCTGCTGAATTTATGATGTTCTGCTATTTCCACGTGATTTATGAAATCAACTGCAATGGCATGAGAAAAACAGCAAATAAAACAACCTACCATATTAAATTAGTAAAATACTATTTAAACCCAGCCTACAAGGTAGCCCACAGCATGACCTGACATCGGGGTTTAACCCCAGCTGGCAACAAAGTACCAGACAGCGCCCGCTCACTCCCTGCTCTGATGGAATGGGGGAGAGATCTGGAGCGTTTAAAGGAAGGAAACTTGTGGGTCGAGATAAAAAGAGTTTCATGATTAAAAATTAAGATAAAAATAAATTGTAAGGAAAAGGAAAAAACTCACAAAGAGGAAAAAATCAAACCCAAGAAAGACAAGTGATGCAAATGAAAACTGCTGCTCACCACCAACCGACCAACACTCAGCCAGTCCCTGAGCAACGGCCCCAGCCAACCTCCGCCCAGGTTTTATTGCTGAGCACGATGCCTTATGGTCTGGGACACCCCTTTGGTCAGCTGGGGTCAGCTGCCCTGGCTGTGTCCCCACCCCGTAGTTCTGTGCACCTCCAGCCCACTCGCTGGCAGGGCAGTGTGAAGAGCAGAAAAGGCCTGGACGCTGTGTAGGCACTGCTCAGCAACAACTAAAACATCCCTGTGTTATCAGCACTGCTTCCAGCACCAGTCCAAACCACAGCCCCACATATGCTGCTGTGACGAAAGTTAACTCCAGCCCAACCAAAACCAGCCCAGCTGACAACAGCCAGCACACGTACACCAGGAATACCTTAGTTGTAAGTGAGGGGTAACTCTTGTTGACTTTGCGGAGACCATCTAACATTTTGGGGAGCTCCGAGGGGTTGACTGGCTCCACAGCTATTTTGATGACAGATGTGGTGTTGAACTTCAAAGGACGGAAGATCTGAGCCTGAAACCAGGCAAGGACAAAGAGCTGAATACATCATGACATGGCCACTGGCGTTAGACCAGCGTTTGAAGCTGTTCT